ATATATATATATATATATATATATATATACATGTTTAAATAAATATTGATGTTTTTTCTAGCGTTTGGTCCCTTCTAATTGCAAGTTTTGCCTTTACAAACCTTCGACATGCTTTTCATAACCATCGTTGGATGTACAGTGTTCTCTCTGTAAATTGTTTTAGAATCAGCCACTTTGAATTAATTTCCAGATTATTTGGCGACTATCTAACAGATGAACAAAAAAATGCTTTGGAAATTTAAAATGTTACTTATAGTGATTGACCGTTTAATATCAAATACTAAGAGAACGTTTTCACATCCATTAACACCATTTTAAGGCTTTGTTACACTGTATGTACACTTTTCTTTATACCTTTTTAAAACTTATAATGAATCAAAAACGCAAGTATGCACCTATGATCCATATTTTTTGTGTTTATTTTTTATGCAGCTCGAGATCATGATTGCGTTAGAACATATCAAATTGAAAACCAGCAACGACTTTGAACTCAACGAAATAATGGAGGATCACAGTCAGACAATTCAGACTGTCTTAGACGCTGCGTGTAAGCAGCGAAAGGATACATTTCGAATACTAATACCATCTTTTTCTGACATCACTATTGAAATGCTCCATCCACTTTACACATATTTTAGTATTGCGGAACATATGGAGCCACTTAAGGTAACTGTCATGATGACTGATATATTCATATATATATATTATTAACGGAAAGGCCAAAAATGAAGACAAAATCACATTTTTCTAAATATTTGTTTTGGAAACTTGCTGATAACTTTCGTCTCATTATAATTTTAATAAACGTTGTTCTGTAAGATTATGGACTTCTATTACTTCGTTCTTTAACAATGCTTTGAGTTTTATATATATAGATTTACAAGGCATTTTTAGTTATTTTTTATTCACCACAGTGAGCTTATTAATATTTTTTATTTCCCTTCGCACGTGTACAGTTACTGGTGAAAGATGGGATTTACGAAACCGTCTTAACTCCCAAACGACTAGTGAATCAAATCATGGCCAGGTGGTTAAGGCGTTCGACTCGCAATCTGAGGGTCGCGGGTTCGAATCCCTGTCACACCACACATGCTCGCCCTTTCAGCCGTGGGGGCGTTATAATGTGACGGTCAATCCCACTATTCGTTGGTAAAAGAGTAGCCCAAGAGTTGGCGGTGGGTGGTGATGACTAGCTGCCTTCCCTCTAGTCTTACACTGCTAAATTAGCGACGGCTAGCGCAGATAGCCCTCGTGTAGCTTTGCGCGAAATTCAAAACAAACAATCGAATGATATATTGAGCTTCATATCTATTTCTAAATAATAAAGCATTTAATCAATATCTCAAACATGATTGTTAATATCATTTGCCTATAGAGCTGTAGTTAACGTAATACAAACTACGTGAAATCAGTTACTGCTGTGGATAACTGCCAAATAACTGTAAAGGCTAAAAACTGTCGAAAGTATCAAATTTGTATTGTTTTGTTTTTACTTCTATAACATAGACTACTTTATTTAACCTATGAATTAATATAATATTCAAATAAAAGTTAGCTATCTTCAATTTGTTAGTTAACAGCAATAGAAGCAGATGCCACAATTATTTCTAAGTAAAACAATAATAACAAGTTAAATATTGTATGCATAATAGGCCACTCATACATGATAAACTTGACCTAAAGCACCTTTTGTGAATGGCCTATAAGTTTCCTCTGTTTTGGATGGTACACAGCTAAAAATTACTAGGGTCTTTCTAAATATTTTCTGAAATAAAATTAATAATAAATTATATTATTAATGATTTATTCAAGCTGCGCCAAAATGAATATATATTCAATCTTGTCAAAAATCCGACTGAATAAATAAATGGTAGAAAGTTATTTAATTTTATATTTTGTGTGTGTGCAAAATGTGCAAATAATTCAAGATCTGTTTAACTTATTTTAAGCTGAATCATATTTTCTTTGTTTTGCTTCTTTCCACCACACTGGTGGCTCAGCGATTAGCTTGGAGGGGTTTATAACGTATAAAATCGGGGTTCGATAACCGCGGTTTTCCTACAGTATTGATAACCCTTTGTATAGCTTTATGCTTAAAAACAAACAAATATCTTTATTTTTCCAGGAAATTGTACTTTGTTATCGCAAATCAATTCTAACATCAGAGAGTGATGCTTGTCCCCAGTGTGTATCGTTTGTCAAGTATTCGTTTGACTTCGTGACTAAACATATGCAGTGGTTAATACCCTTAAACAAGTATCTGTTGTCTTCTCTGATTTTTATCAGCTTCGATTCTAATTCAGTCCAACATCAAGTTAATGCAACAATGAAGTTCACGAACGTATCTCTTCCAATAAATGATACCAGGATCCAGGTATACCTTATTTATCTATTAAATGACTATATAAAACTAGGGTATGTTTAATCCCAGTTTCTGTGAAATACGTATTTACTGTCTGAGGTAAGGGCGTCTGCCCATAAGGTCACACAAAATACAAGAAAGTTCTTATTTAGTTTTTATTAATTTATCCTTTATTACCTTTCATTCGAAATGTTTATCCTAATGTCTTGCGAAATAACAAGTTACTCATGTGTAAGGGAATGCCGGCTTACAATATTGTTATTTGGAACGCAATATATAAAACTTTTACTGCCAAGTATCTTGCTTTTAGCTTATTTGAAATTATATACCTTACTATGTTGCGTAATATAAAAATGTGTAGTGTAAAGTTTAAACAATATAGAATAAAACATTATATTTGAAACAAGCAAGATATATTTTTGCCCCGAGCATGCTCAATGTAACATTTCTAAAGTTAATCATAACTCTGAGTTGTAATTTTTTCTTTGCTTAACGTGGCAATCTGCGCAGGAAATGCAATTTAAAATTTAATGGAAATTGCATTTCTATATCTAATCAATCTCGAACACTTCATGCCAATCATGTAGTTGTTATTCTTCAGAACCAAAAATATCCAAGTTTTTGAAATGATTAACTACATCTGCAAAAACTGATTGTGCTTGTATGGATATATGTCCATTAATAGGTGTTTTAACTATATATATTGAGATGTCTATTTTTTATCATAATGGTATATTGATGTCAGTCTTCTAGTGTGTAGAAACAGTGCTCTGGTATTCGTAAAATGTGCATGAAATCAATACCGAGGTTTGTTTCCTGAGTTCACTAGAATGTCTAATGTATAAGAAAATAACTTATTATTATTATGACCATTAAATAAAAGAAAGCTTAAAATAACTTCAGTCATATTATTATTATTTTTTATTACCCTGCAAGTGAAAACATGAACACATTTTATTATATATTAGTTTGAAAGAAACCTAAGAAAACTATACGTCTTTCGTTTATTTTTTTTCAGTGCTACTATTGGAAAAGAAAAGTTAACCCAGTGGCTTGTAAATCTAAACTTTCTGAAGGTTCATTTGTGTGCACCTGTGAAATATTGTCAGGAACTTACCTCGGGTAAGACGTTGTATCCCAAGGATATTTTCTTGCTCATGAGGAGAGACTATAGTGTGTAACATAGTGCTTGATATCATTTTTTGTAGTAGTCGTTCAATGTTAAATTGGCATGTTCAGAAAATTCTGCAATATCGTTCTTTTAACCGAATTGTATAATACTGATTGGATAAATGCTACGTACGTGGAAGTTAAGCCTTAACCCACTTTCTTATCCTATTATTCGCATTATTATTTTTTATCAGCACGTTCCACTGTACCAAATAATTGTAAATATATAACTAATGTTTTGATTCGCCACAAATTGTATAATATGTATATGTAGTTACAGTGTTTGTTAATATTTGTACTTCCTATGTATAATATAATTGTTACTTGTACTTGTGCTTCATTTGTGTTGTCTACTATTTTAAAATGGCCAGGATAAAAGTTTCCCTAGGTCCCTAGTTGCAATTCGGCAGCTCTATTTTCCTACTTTATCCAAAATAGCCTTATTATATCATAAATTTCGCTACTTTGTTACTAGTTAAAACGTTTTTATAATTAATTTTTAGTGCAATTTCGAGCACACTATTTCAGTGTACTGGCCTTATATTGGTGTTGCTATAATCAGGACTGCTAGTAGTCTTGAAAAGAACTTGAATTAAAGATGGGTTATTCTGATGTAATTGTAATTCACAATTCCAATGATGCTAGCTAAGGGATTTTTTCTTCAAGTGCTCCTAATATCAATCTATTTAATTTTATGCATACTTTTCATGTACTTTCATACCTTAAAGTGTTATAAAATTAAAGGCACCAGCATCTGTGATAAAATTCTCGAATATGGTAATCATCTTTTGTTATATTTTTCATAGACCTAGGGGTTTTGAAAAGACTCAGACTCGAACTAAGAAATCTGTCAATCTGACTGAGCCGTTCATATCGCACAGTCAATCAAATGACAATATTCCTAAGAAAGTCTGAGTTTTTCATAGAAAGTAATTGGTCCCAAGCCCATGTATGATATTAAGAATGGGCTTGGAGATGTTATAATAAATAGGAAATGTATAATTTTGTGGATAACAGCGTACTGATATTTAGTTTCACCTATAATTTTCTGTTTTTCTCCTTGCAGTTTTTGTTGTATTACAGCAAACTTTGTCAGTTTATTTCATTGAAATAGTAATTAAAAAGCCCAGCAAAGAAAATTAGGTATTTAAAATTAATGCCACGTAGGCATACTATTTTCTAAGTCGTATGATTATGAAAAAGACGAGATTGGGCAATGATGTCAGGAAAATCCTAATACAAAATGTATAGGATGTTATATTGTAAATCGGTAGCTTGGGATAATAATGGATATTTGTTTGTTTCTGTAGGGTTTATGGCACATAGCACATGGCTATCATCACAAAACAATTTTAAATTAACTAAAGCTAATTAAAATAGTTAATTGTGTAAAATACATATAGAAAATCTTTATATAAAATGTTGAAGAAATTAAATAAAGCTCAGTACTGTAGCAATGACAAGAAAGTAACACGGGGAAATTGTGACAGAGTGACTGCTGGAAACACGAATGACAATGGTCTTCAGAAGTGAAGCGAGTGTCACAGCCATGGAAGGAGTATCCTGGTAAACCAGCAGTGCTACCCTTCAATGAACCAAACTATCACACAACCTGTCTTTTCTGTATAATGAAAAGTTGACAAATGGGTCGTTTTGGAAATGTTAACATCTTCCTTTCCTCTGGGTAACAGATGTTAATCTTTTTCTTCAATCTATTTTGACCATGGTATAAGGTATGAGGCATAAGGACCAGAGCATTTCATACAATTAATTTTAACTGATATACATAACTACTGGGGCCTTTTCTACCACAAAGAACACAGACCATAGAGCCAGAGCAAGATGTTTTGAGTGTCCAAACAACTTACAGTGGAGATATCTGTGAGGCTTAGTTATACAAAGCCAATATTTTTAGATACCCTGATTTGACATTCGCAGGTGAACATATAGAAACGAATAAGAGCACACCTTGGTAACTCTGGTATCTCAAGTTTGCAAGTCGAGATTCACATAATTGTTGATACTACATTACTCGATAAATCAGCGAGAACCTCTAACTAGGATGTTAAGAAGATTCTTATTAAAAATAACTCATCTTTAACAATTCAAAGTAGCATGAGAAGTTATCATCCCAGTGGCCTTTGTTTCAAGAGGAGTTTATTGTACAGCAGATCCTAGAATGAAGTCACATTGGAAGAATGTATCAAACAAAAAAATATAAACGAAAACTAGAGGTACAAGAGTGTTAGTAGACGTTAAATGTTCGTCATAAGAAATTGTCCCCCACCCACCATAAAGAGATGTGCTACACTGTCAAAAGTTAACAAAGAGGAAAGTATAGCAACACTAGGGTTTCTATATTTTCATCTTTACTATACCTAAATACCATTGCCAGACAATGTCCACAACACACTTTGATGGTATCCAATACTGGTACTTGGTTGCTATAACCACGATTTGCCAGCCAACTGACCCTGTGGGAGCCATTTCAAGACCTCCAATCTACAGTAATTCAAGATAAAAGTGGTGTGTTGAGGTAACCCAGATACTACTCAACCACCAGGATCCTCTCTTCCCCTTCATTTGTTGCCATGCACAGAAAACCTGTGGGTTGGATGCTTGGATCCCAGAGAATGTAAACTTTATAGCCTAAAACGTCAATAGAAGGTCCTCTCACATAAAAGAATTAACACGAGGGTAGTCAAAATAAGAGCTTAGAACTTGTTGAAGAAAGATCAAGCGTTAGTAAGAAGAAAAACAGTTTAAATAAGAATGAAAACGAACTTAAAATGCACTGAGAAACATAGAAGCAGAATTTTATGAAGCAAATAGCAGACTTGTGAAAGCAATAAAAGTAATTTCTGAAAAAGCATCTGGTGCTCAAGATTGAACTTACATACTGCAAGAGAAGACATGGGCATTTTTGAATAAAAATACAAAAGGATTGATGATAGGAAAAAGTATTAGAAGAACAGCTAAACATCGCTGAAACTCCAAAAGAAACCAACATTACCTTCAATGCATGATACATATGAGTGATTTTGTTAAAATATCATATGATAATAAGGTTTTTCTCATGTTTTTTTTTAGGTAACAGCCATCTGATCCACAACATTATATGAAGACAATATTTTGAGCCTCACTGCAAACTCTAAAAGTAATAATTGACTAAAGACGAAGGCAAACAAATCAGAATTCCATTTTATTCTTAATTGTTTTCCAAGAACAAACATATTGATTAATTCAAACCTTCAGTGCAAAATACAATTAAACTTCTGCAACCTATTGATTCGTGTCCCTATTTTGTACTATTTTTTATCATAATGTCATGTGGGGTCTTTTTCTTGTTATATTTCTAAATTTCTGTACCATATTTATTATTTTTAAAATACTTCCTTATATATACATAAGAGAAATGGGGAAAGGTTGTATTCAGGAGATTTACTCTCCAAGCAAGAACTAAATATTGAAGGGTTGTGGCATATGTTAACTGAGAATATGCTATCTGAGTGTTTTCCACATTATTATCATTATACTCTGTTAAATACAGGAGTGTTAGATATACACGACTCTTTCAATTTAAGTTCAATGCCACTGTTATGAATTAGATAGTTTGTATTGTGCGAGTGCTAATTTGGTTATTTTTAGAAGCGATAGTTTATTGCAAGATTGTCTATGTAACTGTTCATGAACCATACATTGTGTAGTTCACTAGTTATGAATTGGTGATTGTTATATTATTGTGTGATGTTACTAGAACCTTCTGAGTTTTTCTTGCTGTTCTGGCCCGGCATGGCCAGGTGGTTAGGGCGCTCGACTCACAATCTGAAGGTTGTGGGTTCGAATCCCGTCACACCAAACATGCTTGCCCTTTCAGCTGTGGGGGTTATAATGTGACGGTCAATCCCACTATTCGTTGGTAAAAAGAGTAGCCCAAGAGTTGGACGTGAGTGGTGATGACTAGTTGCCTTCCCTCTAGTCTTACACTTCTAAATTAGGGAGGGCTAGCGCAGATAGCCCTCGTGTAGCTTTGCGCGAAATTCTAAAACAAATAATTCTTGTTGTTTTAATTGGGTATTATTGCATCATAATGTCTAGTATTATGTGGAATGTTCTAGACCTCTGTCTGAGAATAAATGCTCGTCAAAAACATAGTTCAGTAGATGAATGTAGACTACATGATTGTGAGTTTCGCCATAAAGAGACAATAGTGGTGATTTTTAAAGTGAA